GCACTGGTTGATGCTGACGGGAGCTATGTAATTCTGGAGGTGATCTGGCTCCATATCGCTCACCAAAGGCCTCCACGATCCAGTCCAATTCACTCTCCGGTGTCATGATGTGGCCTTGCCTGTACAACTGCAAGGGTTTACGTTTACTCTTCGGTGCCAAGGCTTTGACCACCTGCCAAACTTGATGCATGTCCCCATTGTCGGCTGCCTGTTGAGCACGTGTCAGCAGTTCATGCTTCCTGGTTTTGCTACGCAGCTTTGACCGAGCTTTGTGCTCCCGATGAGCTTGTTGAAATTTGGTCCACTGCTTCCATGCCTGAACAACACCATGAACAGTAAACTCGTGCGCCCTCATGTCTCTGAAAAGTGCCCACATTGTTCGTGCACTATGTGATAGGGCGACAGCCTCGTTCGTAGGGGCGGAGGATGCACGAACTAGTGGATAGTACTCCTGTGCATATTGCATGATGCCCTTCTCGAGTTGTGTGACGTTTGTCCACTCGCCGTCCTGTAGATCTCGTTGGACGTTGGCTCGAAGTTGTTGTAGTGGTTCAGGTGCAACGGGTTGTCGGAGGTCCTGTATGAGTTGATCCACATTCAATCTGGGTCTGACTTGCATGCTTGTTTTGTTCCATTGTTGGTACCTGACAGGAATATGGGCTTGAACAGGATGATGTTTTGCCCCATCTCTCCATCCTGCCACAGGAAATTGTGTGATAACTGCAGCCTGTCTGGCTCTATTATTTGCACTGGCTTGTCGGCACATGACATAATCGATCTGGGATGCCAGCTTGCCGAATGTAAAGGTGGCCAATTGTTGATGATGTGGCCTGATCCAAGTATTCAGCACTGTCAGTTTGTGAGCAACTAGTAGGCCATTAAGTCGGTGTGGTCCTTGTTGTGAGCCTCGCTGGCCGGCATAACCCATTTGCCACACACCTGCTCCGTGGGTACACATGTAGTGTTGAAATCCCCAGCCATGATGATCGCGTTCCTTACCGGAATACTGCGTAAGGTGCTTTGGAGTTTCTGTAGCAGTTTGTGCCTTCGGTCCGGAGTCAGCTTGTTGTCGTTCGCCGTGTATTGATAGACGTTGATAATGTCAGTGGGTGGCCCCTTATTGATTCGAACATGTAATACTCGTCCTGGGCAAACTGATTGATACTGCAATTCTGAGTTCGCTGCGAGCTTTGTAGAGATGGCAATGAGAACGCCACCCACCTTGTCCTCCTTGTTGTGTCCTGCGGAGTGAATGAAGTGGTACGATGGGGTAGTCCAATTACCATCGAAATCCCATTTTGTTTCCTGTATGCACATGATCCCCACTTCTTGATCCTGCATATACGTTTCCAATTCGCGAAAAATCTGGGAGTGTAAGCCGCCTGCGTTCCACGATACTGTCTTGATCGTTCTGGTCGAGGGTGTAGGTGCAGTCTTCCTGCCCAGGAACTTGGTATTCACTGTTGTAGGGGTGAACCACGAGTGCTGTCGCCACTGTCCTTTGTACCAAGCTCCTCCCTCTCGGCACGACCTGGCGTAGGCCCGTTTATAACTCCGTTTCACACATCTGGGAATACTCGACTCTAAGTTAGGTGATTTGACCTCCCGTTGTCCCACAAGCTTTGCCGATGTGGCTTCAGACGTCATAGTAATAGTGGGGTAGACGTCAACCCTCGCATCTGTGTTCACGGCTTTGGTCGTTTGAAGGCATAACAGCATAATGCATGTAAGCATGTAGTAAGATGCTGGCCCAATGTGAACACGGCCGGACTTGGGACCGGCCCAGCTATCTGATCTGCGCTTGCGTCCTGCAGTCGCCAGTTTATTGAAGTCATGGAAATGCGTGGCACAGCACTGTGCCTGCTCTCGGCTCTGGGCCAACTTCCGCCACATCAATGTATGTCTTGTGATCCTGTAGATCAACCATGCACTGATCATAACAAGAAAAACCAGAAAAGCCCACAGCCATTGTAAGCTTCCTGCCCATTGGCTCTCTTGCTGCTGTAGCCAGTACCTGACCATGAGATGGTGTAGGTCATGTTTGTGTGTATCGCTGCACTGTAAGGAGGTGATCACTGCTGCAAATGTGACACACATTCTTTTGCCCATCTCCACCACGAGTCGCTTGTGTCCAAAATGGCCGGTCATAAACGGCTGGCTTTTCCGAGACAACTTTGTCATAGCTGAGGAATCTGTACGATCGGCCTGACCCTCGACTCTACTCACTGTGGTTGAGGAGTTACATCTCCCGTTTTCTCCTGCAGCAAGAGTTAATGCGAAGTGATTGAGAAGAGTCTCGTAAGAAGCACATATGTTATGATACATCAACCTCCCGAAAACCAACAAATGAGGGCCATACTTTCTGTGTCCAAGAGCTCGAGGTTTGGCCTTGGGCTTAGCCTGAGGAGCGCTGCTGTCGGCCATCTCATGTGTCTCTTCCTCCATGGTCTCCTCGTTGCTCGGTCCAGGCAGAACTCCCATGTCGAAGAGGCCACCATCAGAGAACGCATGGGCATGCTCCTCTTCCGAGGCGTCATCGTACTCTGCCTGGATGGCCGCAATCTCCTCCGGGGTCATAGTAGTACGCCCTTCCCGATTCATGCGCCGAATCGTCTTGTTGACCAGACTTTCCTCATCCACTCCGGCCTCTCCCCCTGTTGAGCTCATAGCCGTCGTGCGTAGTATTCCCGGTGGTGGTCCAGCTGGTTCCGGGGGGCGCCATGGTGGAATTTCCCATGGGTGGTTGGGGCGAGGAACACGAGGCGCTCGAGGTGGAGGTCCGGTTGCTGGTCCCTCTGTGGCTTCGCCACCATCCTGTCCTGGATCATCTGCGGCATGGATCTCCAGGACATTTGGATGGTCGTGCTCATGCGGTCTCATGGCACGCACACTCACCACCAGGCATTTCAAATGCCTCAGATCCCATGGCAGGTATGTGACCATTCTGCCCTGGAAGCCTGTGGCTTCAGCCACTGCACAGCTCACTTTATGAGAGAGCTCCATCTGGGCCTGCATAGGCAAAGGGATCGGAGGTCCTGCTGGCTTGTCATGAGGAGGCCTCTCTTCAACAGAAGAGTCTGACATGGAGGCAGTCGGAACCCCAGGCCTGTATCTAGCTCTCAGCAGGACTATTTGAGCCCATGTGCGTGCAGCACTTGTGAATATTTGTAAGCATCGTGCTATCAGCCTGGCTTGAAGCTTACTGTGTCCAACTTGCAGCAACCAATGCAAATGCTTAGGGCACTGGATGGCAGCCATCTGCAGCCACATCAGAGACCTGGCTCCAAATTCGCACCGTATGCACTTACTTCGTCTACCCCGCCTGATGCGATAGCCAGTGGGTTGCTTGATTCTCCATCTTCTGCCTGTTTTGCCAATACACTGTGCCTGTGGTAAGAGACTATTGTATGGAATGCATCTTGATGTGGCCCCACCTGCTTCAGCCTGAGTGAGTGCTGTCATAGACGCCATGGCATGTATGGCTGGTCGCGTTGCTTCCCATGTGCACTGATTAGTCCATGGTTGTAAGATCAATGTAGGCTGCATGTGATCCCGGCGGTGGCCAGAAGTGTCTGAGCAATGCAGGATATTGAAGACGGATCCAGCAATACAAGGTCTTTTCACAAGGTGGGAAGTCAGATGCTCTGGCAGCTTGCAGGACTCGACCTGGATGTGCATCCGCGGTCCAGTCCCTGTCCCATTGGAAAAACCAGTCGAACTGCTGCATGTAGCCCCCTGCCCGTCTGAGCATGAGTTCGCCAATGAACGAATTGATGTGGTGGCGTTGTTGCCGTCGTGAGAACAGATCCCTGGCGTATTCGCCCATGTCATCCAACGGCATTTTGTTCGCGTTTGCGAACCATTGGTTGTCAACCCAATTATCCATGACAATAACAGGAAAGGCAGCTTCATATATGGTGTCACCGTCGGAAATTCCTGGTTTTCACACGATCACGATGGCGGCACTCTGGACAAGCTGTGTTTCCTTGAGGGCCCGAAGCCTTCTAGGGAATCTACCTTCGTGGCACGGCCTCCTGTTTGGCGACCTTGTCGCGCACCTCTGAAAGCCGAGATGCTTGTAGTAGTAGTAGTAGTAGTAGTAGTAGTAGTAGTAGTGGTAGAAGTAGTAGGAGTAGTAGTAGTAGTAGTAGTAGTAGTAGTGGTAGTAGTAGTGGTAGAAGTAGTAGGAGGAGGAGGAGGAGGACTGCGCTTTGCTGTGACTCGTTCATGCGTCATGAACTGAACAGCAGTCGGGGTTGTGATCAGATCGGCTTGTCAGGCATCAGCGTCGGACCAGCGCAGAGCTTGTGGATTGAGGGCAAATCAATGGTCATTGACGACACCTACCCTCATTCGGCTACTTGTGTTTGCAATGCCTAATGCCAGATTCAATGCCGGACATTTGTGCGGGGCATGGACTACAGTGAGCCAATCTCGTCCAAGGTGAGCCACTGGGGCCAGCATCCTCGCTATGTCCTGGCTACATGGTTCTGCCATCCTTGTGATGAGAACCATGACAGCGGCCAGGTATGTGCAGAAAGCTTGTAGAAAAAAAGTGGCGACGAGCGTGATGGAGCTGTCGCATCAAGTCTCTTCACATCGAGATACGTTCCACATCACCTGTGTGGAGGAGCTTGGAGCAGCGAGCCTCCTAAGGAGCCCGCAGCCCAAGGCCAGGCATGGCCAGGCTGCAAGGCTGCTCTTCCCCGCACTGCACATTCGAAAGTTGACGGGTGTGCAGGCTCCTGTGAATCGAGTGCCTCCTCCAGCCGTACCGGAAGAGATGGTGGAGAAGGCTTGTCATGACCACATCACCATGTTAGAAAAGCTCTGCGGAAGTTGAGCGCCGTGGCTCTTAGCCGCATGTGCCGTGGCAGAAATCTGAATGAATCGAGACACCTAGCAGACAGGGACGCCCAATGGTAGAGCGCAGCATTCTGGAGCCTTTCCGTGGAGACTTAGGGTTCCCGACTTGAAACCGATTGAAACCGTTACAGCCCATGTCTGCCAAGAGCCATGCGCCATCCCGCGCCCGAGAGAGAGCTCAGAGGCCGCGAAGGCAGTTAGGTCAACCCATGGTCAGAGCCTCAGCACTCGCTGCCAAGGTGCCCGGCGCTGCTTCTCGATGCTGCTCCATTGCCTCCTCCGCATCCTGGTGAGTTCGCACGGAATCTTCTTTGGAAACGCGGGCTCATGGTCACGGACCGGAAGATCGCTCCAAGCTCAGTGCATGAGTTTCGAGGCGCCGTCTCTTTAGTTTCCCCGCCGAGGCTCTTGCACGTCTGCGCCGACGCTGTGTGCAGAGGGAGAACTGCTTCCCGCTTGGCCGCTTCGCAGAGCAGCAGGACCTCACATGCGAACGTGGAAGGCGCGCACACGGTACACTGTTGCATGCCGTACCATCGGCGTGGCCGAGCCATTCCCTGTCAGGGGGATTTGTTCGGCGACAAAGGAGCTGCCAGCCATACTGAAGGAGTGGAAGGTTCGGGCTCTCAGGCTGCGGCGCTTTGGTTTTGGTAGCCAGCCTGCAGGTGCTAAGACGGCAGCGAGGGGCAGCAACCTCTTATGCACGCGAGCTCCGCAACTGCCAAGAAGGTGTTGAGGAGTTCCTGCGACCCGTCCGAATCTTCATGGAGCCACTGAGCCATGCATCGAGGGAGGGCATGTGAGGTCCGATGCCACTGCGGCCATGGCTCGGCTGCTGCACCGCTCGCCGGCAAAGCTCCGTCGGCGTGTGCACGCCGCAGCAGCTCAGCGGAATGATTGCTGCCTCGCGCTTCGCATCGTGCGATTTTCAGAGTCCCTGAGAGTTTTTGCAAGGTTCAAAGGGACTGGCAGGCAGTGAAGGGTTCTGCGGCCGTGGGTTCCACTCCGCCCTCCCCCGAAACGGCCTGACAGGTGATGCGGCCGCAGCACCAGCTGCTGTTCTTGGCCACCGCGGCTCAACGTGCCCTAGACCGCACCGAGCGGGTCGGCATGGAGCTCGCCGTTTGCGAGACGCTCCAAAGCCGGTCGAGGCTGCTAAGATGACATCGAGTAGTGTCGGGCTTGGATTCTGGAACCTGCCAGGCAGGTCTCTGAGTCCTCCTCGGGACTCCGACAGCTGTTGCAGAGGGCACCGGCCTCCAGCGAGCTTTACGGTGAAGGCTGCGAAACTGAACAGGGTGCCTCCTTGACTAAGCCACCTTTGTCGCAGGACCTGATTCCACCTTCCGCCATCCCTTCGTGAAGGAAATGGGGCTGAACGGGGAGGGATGAAAGCTGCACAGTGTCGCACGCAGGAGCTGCTTCTGCGGGCACAAGCCCGGGTCTCTTGGGAGCCCTGGGTGATCTGCGTGCGCAGCTACGCCAGGAGCACCGCCGAGCCACCGCCGAGCGTTGTGACTGTCGGATCGTGTCAGGCCAAAGAGCCTGATGTCGCAGACCATGAAGGTCTTGCGATGTTCCGGGCTGCTCGAATACTGGGACCGAATTCATGCGCTGCGCTCAGTGGTGGCGGTGCCACGTGCAGCTCGCCCGGCTGCCTTGAAGGTCTTCGTTTCACATGAAGACCCTGACTTCCTATCGGGGTGCTACGAGGAAGTATTGGGGCAGCTACATGACAGGAGACCTTCTCGTCTGTGCCCCTGCATACAGAATGGCATGCTGTGTCAGTGGGAGGATCATCGTGGGCGTCAAGGGCACGGACCTGGGCTGTGTTTCTGACATGTTCATGCTCTGCAATGCTCTGCATGGCATAGGCTGATGAGGCACTCATTCCAGCCCCGAAGCTGGAGAATCGCGGGCTGTCGCGGCCGAGGCGCCGACCTGCAGGTCCGCTTCATCGAGGAATGCTTTCTGCCGGGCCAGCACGTGAGGGCCTTGAGGGCGCCTCATCCACAATCTTCGGAGTCGAAGCCCTTTCCAGGTGGTGGTTATGGACGACAACTTGCTTCGCTTTGTCCGTCACGAGGCCGGCGAGGAGCCACGGCAATTTGCTGAAGAGAGGAAGAAAGATCAGTCTTTCACGAACGGGTAGAACGCCAGGAGTTCCCTGGGGACCTCGTTGCGACGATTGAGGCGGCTGCTGAGGCGATGCAGCGCTTCCAAGCCCATCTCTGGGGCCTGGGCCTAAGTCCCAAGTGCAGTGCGACGTCAGATGCGCCGGCCGAAGTGGGTGTCTTAAAGGCTCTTTACCAAGGCACTTGATGTCGTGTGACGGGGAGTCGCGTTCCCAAGGCATCTCTCCGACCAGCAACAAGAAGTTCCTCAAGGACCCGCAGACCCGCAGGCCCATCCAGCCGTCCCTTACCAGAGCCGTTGCGATGCCAGGAGGCACCTGAGATTAGCACTGCTCTGGGTCTGGTGTACGGGGCCTTGTTCGGCTTTCGAGTCCTGCACGATCCGGATCTCTACACCCGTTTCGGCCAGGTGAAGGACAGAATACAGAAACAGCAAGAGAGGGCTTCAGCGCCTTTGAGACGAAGCATCCGATCGTAAGTTCTTGCAGGATGATTTGGAGCGTTCGCTCCGCTACTGGCATCGTGATGGCGTTGTCGTGAGATTCCGGCGAATGTCTTGCACGAAAGCCCAAAGACCTGGTGTCCCTTGGCTGGGGGTTTTCTGTGCTGTGCACCTGCGCATTGGGATGCAAATGGACCAAGGTCTACGCGAGCAGGAAGGGCGGCATATCCGCCAGCATCGGTGAGACCGGACACAAGCTGCAGGGCGACTTCGCGCTTGCACGGCTCGCCGAGCGTCGCTTGTATCTGGGTCCAGAGAGCATGCTGTGCTACTTACGACTTACGAGCTGCGTTTGAACGAAGCATCCCGATGTCCTCTGAACAAGGTTTCGCAGCCTAGGAAACTACACAGTTGAAGTCGAGAGCATGCTTGAAGGCACTCGCTGCTGCCGCTCATGACCTGCCATGTGCATGTCGTCCCCAAAATCAAAAAATCACAAAATCTCAGAGACAGACTACAGTGACTACAGTCTGCGCAGAACAAACAGGAAGGTCATGTGAATTGGCTGATCTGACTTCATCCAGATGGTAAGAACAGGAAGAGAACGCTGCGGATTGCTTCGGTGGGCCACGCCTGTTGCAAGTTGCAAGGTTTCTCTCAGTACATCCGCTTGCCAAATCCGGAGATCGATCAGAAGAGGGACCCAACCACAGGACAGGAGACAGGATGCAGCCTTGGAGCATGATTTCCCATGTCCAAGCCTGGTTGAAGGAGCCTTTCTTACCCTCTCTAGCAAGAAGCCCTGCTGGAAGGCTGGATCTCATGTAGCGGATGCTCGGACGCACATGGACGTCAACAGTCACAATGCACCGGGCAACGTCGCAGTATCCTGCAGATGCTGGACATAGAAGCTTTGCAAGCAAGGATTGTGGTGTGGTTTGGATGCGGAAGAAAAGTTCAAAAAGTACCACGATCCCCTGCGGGCCGTGGGCCTTGGCTCCCACAGGCACACATGTGTATGAAGATCATTGCGCAGTAGCTCCGACATGTGACACAGGCAGCAAGCTGCTCACGGGCTTTTGCTGTAGAGCCTGTCGTGGAGAGTCCGACAGTCCGTGCCACTGCATTGACCCTGTCGAAGAGGACCTGCGTTGCCACACACATGACACAGGGTTGTGTTACGTACAGTCACAGAGGGAGAGGGAGGGGTCTCAGTCGCTGGAAGGAGGCCCGGCAGTGCTTTTGGCAGCAGAGACTTTCTGTTGGGGGTTTGGCCCTGGCCTCGGAGCGCGCGCTTCTCTGAGGCTCTTCTTCCTGGAGGGCTTGGAGGGAGCCCGGGCAGCTGCGAGGCCAGGGCCCCAACGCCTGCCTTCGATCTCGAAACCGGGGAACTTTGAGGCTCCCGGCTCTGGGGAGCCTCGAGGAGCGCGCCCTGCGAGCGTTGGAGCAGGAGTGGTCGGGACCCAAGAGCAAAAAAGCCCCCGAGCGCGCTCGCTTCAGCTCGTGTAAGCGCACGAAGAGGCGCCGGCTTCCTCGCCAGCAGAGGGCCGAGATGAAGGTGACGTGGCGTGCCGGGCGTGTCAGAGTTTCGCAGAGAATCCTCGAGTTGTGGGAGGCGCTGGCAGCACGAGACTTGGAGCAGAAGCAGTGGTGCCCCTGCGAGGCTGGGGCTGGGGGAAAGGCCCATACAGCCATAGAGAGCCTCAACTTGAGCCTGGCAGTAGTTGCAGGACTCTCGGAGAGGTCAGAGGTCCGTCCCTCAACTTCCGAGCCGGCGCCTTGCTGAGGACTTGGAGAGAAATGGTCCTTGAAAGCCGCGACAGGCCTTTTTGGACACCATCCCAGAGCTCCCAGCACCTTGCAGTCCGACACCGCAAGCGAGTGGCTCCTCTTACCTGACGTCGTGGGATTTTGATGCCATGACCATTGATGCTCCTGTCGGCATGTCGGAGCCGAGGCACGAAGCAGCGAGTTGCCAGAATCTGCCAGAAGAGACAGAAAAGGGCCAGCAGAAAGTTGGTATTCACTGTTAGGACCTGGCCCATTTGGACTGTCCGTGCGGGCACCAGGTTCAAGTCTCGTCCCATTCTGCAGGCCGTGATGGCTGCGGAAGCTTCGCGACCCCCCAAGCTAGAGCTGGAAGAGGATTGGCATGGCATTGGCAAATTGGGGAGTAAATTCACTCCCCATTCGTCGCTGTCTCCAGGCGCAGGAGGAAGCCCAGGAGGAAGACCCAGCAGTTCTGAAAGCTCGCGCTGCCAGCTATGGCAGAGCTCTGCAGCTTTGTGCTTGCTGCCCGGGCAAGGACCTGTGACGGCACACTGTGCTTTCCTTGCACAGCCGGGTTTTGCAGGAGAAAGAGGGCCTGAAGTGGCTCGACGACATGCAAGCCACTTTCCCAGTGAACTGCTTTTTGCTGCGCCGGATGTTGCCCCCCTTCCTGTCCCCATTGAGCAGACTCCGATCAAGTGATCCAGTACAACCTGTAACGCTGTTGGAAGGACAACAGGAAGTTGCAGAAGGAGATCAGCATGGCTGACCTCTTGGCAGCCTTGCACTTATGCGAGGCCAGGATCGCATTTGCAACGCTGACTGTTGCAAGTTTTCTTGCATCCAGGCTTGTGACGAGTCATTGCTTCGAGTGTTTACGTTGCTCGTAGAGATGCACGACAAGAACGGCGGGCGCCTCGAGTGGAGCAGCCGTGGCACCGTGAGGGTGTATTCTGCAGTCCGGCGCCGGTAAGGTTTCGTTCTCGACACGCCGCTGGAGTCTCACGAAGGCGAAGGACAGGAGGCTTGGCTGCGGAATGCTTTCTTTGGTCGGCACCCGTCTTGGTGAAGCTCTTGAATCTATTGATCTTGTCAGGGCGTGTCCTGGCTTCTCGACCGATTCGGGGAGGACGTGTGGGAAGCCCTGGAGCGCCATGCGGACTCCTGGCTCCTTCCCGCGACTCAGAGCGCGGCTACATGCGCGGCATTCCGAAGGCCACGATCTCAGCCGCTCCATCATGCTTCGTATTGCCCATGCAGCACACCATGAGAGGTGCAGTTCCGCGGTGCTGCGTCTGGGAAGTTTGCTCCGGAGACGGAGCCAACACAAACCAGAAGTCGATGGCCTGGTGAAAAGCCAGTGGGCGCCCGGGCGGCACCGGTTCGGACAGCTGTCATTTTGGTCAAATTTCGGGATTCTGTCACTGTCCCTATCTCCATCTCTTTCGTTGTTTGTTGTTTTTGGAGGTGCGGCCAATTCTGGAGGCTTTGGACTCTCCGAGCCCGGCAGCGATGGTGAAGCTGCGGGAGACTCCCGACCTTGGCGCCTTCACGGCTGATGCTTTCAGGCATCCCGTGCACTGATTTGCACAGAGGGAGTGAGACAAAAGATGTTCAGCATCTGTGACAGGCATCTTGGCATTACTGTCAGCTCCTGCCTCAACTTCGGCTTGCTGTAGGTGTGAGCACGAGCGGAGGGATAGCAGTGTCACTCAGGCGATGCCGACGGCTGGCTTGGGCCTTCTTGTCATGTGTGTGTGTGCGCGTCGTGACACCAACAGTGAGGTCTGCCGAGGCAGCGCGGCAGCTGCGCCGGCAGGCCAGGAATAGCCTCAGTCAGTCCAGCGTCACGGAGCCAGCCTGGCAGGCCATGCTGGACAAATGGTCTCAGTGGTCACCTCCACCAGGAGCCGAGCTTAACTTCGCCCTTGCACGTGTCTGTAACAGAAGCCACTAAGGTCCAGGCAGCCTAGCCTGGTTGGCCTATGACTTGACAGATCAGGCGGGTTGCCAACTGCTTCTGTTCTGGCTGCGACCTGTGCTGTTTATCGCCATGGCTCAGGCGGGCAGCCTGTGCTCCGATGGTGAAGTGCATCGTCTGGGCCTGAGCTCCGCGGCTCGTCGCAAAAGGTGATTTCCGAGCTCGGATTCTGGGCCAGGGCGCCGCCTTGAGCACGCTGACACGGATGCTTTGCAACCACTGGCCGTGAACTCAGGGTACTCGTAATGCTTCTGCAGGCCGTGTCGTTCCGTTATTGGCTCAGGAGGAAAAGGGCGCTGCCGTTCACGCGGAGCGGGCCGCCCTGATCGAAGCTCAGAACACGCAGCAGGGAGAGACTGTTAGCCTGCCGACCCGCCGGGCTTGCAGCATGCCGACGAGCTATAGACCCCCAGAGTTGAACTTGCCTTTTCTAGATTCTAGTTGAGAGCGAGAACCGGTCTCCGAAGCCAGTCAGCTTCTATCGAATCGAACAAGCAGGCATTTCTGGCAGGCGAGCACCATGGACTGTCTTTGGCTCGATCTCGCTGTTGCAGGCTGAATGCGGCGCACCTAACCCTGCCCAAAAGGGGCTGTGGGTGCCGTCCGAAAATTGGTGCAAGAGCTGGCCGCATCGCCAGCAACTGAAGTCGTTCCTCCAAAACGGGCCCTACATCACCAGGATTAAAGTTTCGTCGCACTTGGCTACACCATCTTGCGGAGGACGCGGAGTACGGAGAAGTGCGTTTTACGTGGCCTGGCTAGCGGAGGAATTAATCCCCTGGAATAAAATTATACTACTATAATGTTCCAGA